ATGGAACACTAGCTGACGAAGGAGCTAGATCTGAAAAATTTTGCTGACTCTGCGAGCGATTTCCACCACTAAATTTTTGTCGATAATAGTCATAGTTTCCAGTCCTAGTATTCTTATTCTCATTACCATGTTCCCTAAGCTTATCACCCTCAACCTGCTGAGCATGACTCATAAGCTTAGAGATGTTCATATCTCCAAATAACATAGCACTTCTGCACTCAGTTTTCACAAAATTTAACACTACAAACTAGAAATTATTCATCTGAGTCGTGGATTCAGCATCCATGTGAGGATCATACCTGGAGAGCTTGTTAAACTTGAACGCATACTTGTCATATTTCCCTGCCTAAAGTTCTGTACCCCTATATTCTTTCAACTTAGTGTACCAGATATGAGCAACATCCTTAAACTGGTATGATGCCTACTCAATCTGGTCATTCCCAGTGATATGTATTACCTCAAATATCTTCCTGATCTCAACCATGAAATTCTAAGGATCCTCATTAGTTTGTGATTCTAAGAACCCAGGTGAATTCATCCTAACAAAGTCATAGACCCTTACTGCTGTTGATCCACCATTTGCATTCACAGGAGCATGAACCCGATTGTTTTGGTTGGCCATTCTATGAGCCAACATCTTTATAGTTTTCTCAACTCACCATTCGAGACTTCCTGATCTAGGACCTGAGGAGCTGCGTTTGCATTTCTTGCACTTGCATTCCTAGCCTTAGCTCTACGAGGAGTCATGATCTGAAACGTAGAAAATCAAGTTACAGTGAAATAAGATCATACCTTACGCATGATAAGAGTAACAAGAAAGTGAATTTTTTCTAAAACTCTTTGTATCCTCCCTCTCATTACATGCGGTGCACTTCACACTCATGTAAAGGACTATACTTAGTGAAGCTTTTCAGACATCCTAGTACACTTAAAGCTAGTAGTCTGATACTATGTTTTGTTACGCACCGAGCCATCCCCAAGATGCGGATAGAAACTTAGGACCACAAGCGATTTGTCAGAAATTTTGAACCAGAAATGATCTCAAGCTAACCCTACTAGCATAATAATGACCATACTAAAGATAATAAACTTAGCGCGGAAGCTAAGTCATAATTTAAACTGAAATGATGGTGAATACCCAAATATGAAAACAATGGGTTTAATAAAAAGGAAATATTAACTCAATACTAAGATGAAACTAACTATGTCTGAAAATAGCCTCTAAACTGACTAGGAATGTTGGGACATGCCCCAGTATAAAAACTTAGACTAAATGACTAAAAGATTGAAAAGAAACTCATGACTATTGTGCTTGGGAATGAGGAATCACCACGGAATCTTCTAAACTGGAGATCAGGAATCAATCTGTGAATAATCTGGATGCTGAGAACCTGAACCTACATCATGAGAAGATGTAGCACACGTATGCATCAGTACTTGAAGGTACTGAGTATGTAGGATAGAGTAATGCTGAAATAAAACATAACTGAACAAGCACAAATACAAATATAATAATCTAAACACAATATATTGAATTCTAAACTAACTACATGTAATGACCAAATTTATAACATGCTGAGACTTAATAATAACTGAGCTGTAAATATGGTCAATGCATTAGAGAGTCTAAGTGAAATTTGGGAGCTACTAATAACCGATTATAAAACCATATGAGATTAATGTGGAGTCCGATGTATAAACCTCATGGAGAGGACCCAATATACCCGTCTAGAAGTATAAAGTCATGTTGGGGTGGTTACTAAACTGATTTCCTACCAAGGGGACTTACAACCTACTTGGCTAGTAGTTCTGGGACTAATTAGGTAAGCTGAACCATACTCCAACTCGGTATTATACTACTCCCAATGAATAATGTGACTAAGACATTACGACTTAATTTCTATAAATACTGGATAGGTCAAAACTTAACATGCAAACTAAGAATGCAACAATTAATCTGGTAATTATGCATTTATAACTGAGGAATGTATATATGAAGTAACTCAAATATCTGACCTAGAATGTATAAATCAAGAACTAATGAAATACATAACTAGGGTTCTGAAATTCATGCATTAATCTGAGTAATAACATGATAATCTGATTTGGAACACATAACTAATTACATCATGAAGTTTTTTTGAAGTTCTTAATATCCTAGGTCTAATCATGATACGAGAATCAAGAATCTGATTAAAAACTAGGGATCTAATGGGTGAAAAGTATCCACTAATGAAAAACCACATACCTGGTGATGAAATCCACGAAGAAATATTTAGATTTTGGGTGCTGGAAATTCTGGAACCTTGTTGCATTCTTGAACTAGGGTTCTTGACCTTTTTCTCCTTTTTAATCTTAATTTTTAATGTTTTTTATTTATGATTTTGACTTATGTAAGTTTCAGCTATATTTCCTAACAAAAATCTGATGATTTAGGGTCAAAATGACGTATCTTAAGGTTTAAACGAAGTGGGGAAAGACCTCAAGATCCCTGAGGTAGTTGTTGTCAGACCAAATGACGACCTGCACTAACAAGTCGTCGTTCAATAGACTGTCCGTTGTTTGGGTCTTTTCCACAAGCCTTTACTAAACTGAGCATAACTTCTTACTCGGTGGTTTTATTTTAGAAAACTCGGTGGTATGGAAAGATAGTTCAATCACCTATAATTTCATAGGTGATGGAACACCTAATTCATTTTGTACTAAGAGTTATAATCATTTAAAGTTAACCAAACTATATTTTGCCCCTAACTGTCTACTAATTTTCACCTACAGTCCAACATACGGTCCGTAAGTCCATCTACGGACCGTGTTGGTCATCGTGGTTCTTATGAGAGTGTGGTATATGGGATCTTAATTGATATGGACCATAGTCTGAACTACACTGTAGGTCTGTCTATCGTTTGACACTTAGTCCAATTTTCTGGATGTGTCTTGGGGGAGTTATTGTTACAATCGACGGATGTGCAGCTCGGGCCATGGGTCAGGCTACGTCCATCGATGGTAACCATCGATTGCACCTGCAGATTTTTAAAAGCTAATTTTTGTCTGTTTTGTGTACGGGGTAATACATTAAGTGTCCTTTTTATTTGTTCCATAACTGATTCATCTACCCCAAGATATGAGTGAAGGAGATTAGATACCATTTTGAAAAAAAAGATACCAATAGAAATCAAGTAATAGAAAGAGGAGACAAGAGGATAAAAGAGAGTATTCTTAAGTCCTATAAAAACTCAAAGAAAAGTAAAGGAATCTCTGTACCGTTTTGCGATACTCTATTACACACATTTTAATACATCGATATCAATGAACCTAGGCTCAAATACAAATTTCATACGACCCAGATCATCATGATTGGCACCCACACAAACACTCCTGTGGAAGAACCGCTACTACAACCTAAACTAAGAGGATAACCTAAAAACAAAACCATTTAAGTTAAGGAATCAAATTAAATAAATTAAGTTAGAAGTTTTTCATACACTTCAACAAGGATTTTAACTCGGGAGCAAAAAACCTAGAACCTGAAAGTCAATAAATACATCTAAAAATGATCAAACTTCAAACAAGAAAATACTAATGAACTAATCAACTAACTATATCAAATGTCTACGTCCGGACATGGTGAAGATATAAGAAAGAGAATCCTATGGGAGCCTAGAAAGATTTGCTCACCCTTGAATTCGAAGCAACGATCAATGATCTTCTAAGAAGGGTATGTCAATGGTCGCATGAAGATGCCCAATACTCAACAAAAATAAGAGGTAGTGTAGAATATGTACACAACCACAATGTATTGGTAGGATCACATAGCTATCCCACTAGTGCAACATAAACAATTAAAAAAAATTATACATGTATATATATATATATATGTGTGTGTGTGTGTGTGTGTGTGTGTGTGTATATATATATACATATCAACATATACAAATATTATTAACATGAAGAATAAAAAACGCATTTCACATTTTATATCACCTCATTGGTCCTCGCAGGAACCTAGCTCAATGGTCCTCTCATTGAACCCAAACAGTTAGTTTGTATTAACGTGGTACTCTGATCTCATATTTATAACGGAACGTCGCGAACATTCCCATTATTATGTAACAATGGGCAATAGTATGTCGAAACGTGGCAGTAAGATCGAAGTTAGTTCTAAAAGAACGAGGTAACCAATCCCATTCACACGCCACAATAACAATCACAGGTACATAATCAAGATCATACAATTAAGTATTGAGTTCATGGTAATAATAATTAACCTCTCTCATTTACAAGTGTGATCAACATTCTAACATTCATAGATATACATGTATCATAATGAAGAAGAAACAAGCATACATCAAACAAATATAGAATCACAATCATCACCTACCTAGAAACAAGCTTGAAACCCTAAGAAACTTAATCCTTCCCTTTACGGATTCATTCCGCTTGTTCTTGGTGTATAAACATTCAATCTAATATGGGAACAAGTAACAATCATTACTTAACCGGATTACTAAAAATTCTAAGAACCCTAGATCAAACTCATTATCACAACTAACAAATTTAAGATTGTCTCTGCCATAAAATTCATAACCGAACCCTTCCCCATGAATATTGTACATAGATTGACCTCGAGTTAAAGTGGGGTATAACATTAAAAATATTATTACAAATAAGGCGAAGTATATGAAGATATTGCGAATGGATGAGTTAAATAGTACTAGAGGCTCAAAAGAACATACAATAATCATAGCATGAATGCAGTTAGAAAAAGTGATTATCAGAAATAAAAAGTGTTAAATTCATAAGTATAATTTATTATTTAACAAGGTAATTTGCCCGCGCTTCGCTGCCATAAATAATAATTTCATTGAACTTGCAAATTTTATTTTTTCTAATATCCATCCATTAAATATAATGTAAAATAGGTTTTTAAGAATATAAGCAATATTTCAACATGAATTTGATTATTTGTCATTATCACATAGCTCAAGAACCTCTAATGAATGAATTATTGACAAAATAATTAATCATTGGTTCCCTAATCCACATTAAAAGGAAAATAAACAACTTCAAAAGTGTTGCCTTTATATGTCATCTGGAGAAACACTTATAAAGTATGACGTTATATCTCATCTAGAGCAACACTTACAAAGTGTAACTTAATATCTTATCTAGAACAACACTTATAAAGCGTAACTATAACATTGGACGTCCTACATTGACTCTTTTGAATCGCATATATGCAATATATAATCAAAAAATTAAATATACAAGTCCCTAAAGCACAAAATTAACTAAGAATTGAATCAAAATTATATATTTCAAATAAACTTTGAGAAACATGTGTTGCACAACCAATACTTAGAAAGTGATTGCTTAAAGATCACTAGTATCAATAAATTCAAAAAAAATCAAATGCATTCAAACACATATGATGATAGCAGAAAAGCTTCTCATCGTTCACTACAATACATCTAGTTTACTTCTGGCGACAATTCAAAGTCAATTACCGGCATTTTCCTACACATTCAAAATAAATTTATAAGTTAGTGAAATAAATGTGTAAGTGAACAAAAATAATTAAATGAAATCATCATGAAATGCATTAATATGCATATATGTCGATTCAAATGTATATCTCAGCCCTACAAATAAAAGTATGCATATAGCCCATCTGTAAGCAATTATGATTTAGCTAATGTGTGTCCATTCTTGTACGTATTAATTAAACATAATGCCCGTCTAACAAATAAGCCTCCATAAGAGCAACATTTTTGTCCATGTGATACGAATCCAACTACAACAAAGTGCTTTTACCTACATGAACATAAGAGGTACATCAATTTGTAACAAGAACTCATCTCATGTTGCCCCATTTGCACTCTGAAAGATTTGCAACTAGACTTATAAAAGAGTTTTTTTCTTTAAAATGACTGTATATATTAAGTAATAGACAAACTACTAAAACGGTAAATACATCATAAAGGTAAATTTTGCATGCATTCATATGTTGTAAATATTTTCACGGTAGTATATACATACATGCCTAAACAGATTAACCTTTATAGATTAGACAACTTCTTCTTGTAAGTGTCATGTACACGCACTGCACATTACCACAAATGAAAACCACAACTTCGAATATGGAGAAAGAAATTTTTTACACTAATGAGTCACAAGAATCAACAATTTGCTACAAGCATTTAGTTCAAATATGTTTCTTCTCTCTAAATTAAACGTGAAAGATAATCTTAGAAGAAGAAAAACCATAGAAATCAAGAGCATTGGATACCCTAGACATGACCAAACATGTTTTCCCTTTTTTCTTCCTTTGCCTTTTTTTTGATCCTGTGACCTGTATGTTGTTGGACATAATGATTTAAATGAATTAAACAGTAAATTTATATTACAAACATATCCAAAATTAGAATAATTTTTCATTACTCCAACTTGTAGTGTTTATAAGTTATGAAATTCACAAAATTATCTTACATGGAACTTCATTAGCTGAAAGGATTAGTTTTTATAAGCTAAGAAGGACGGAGACCAGATCAAGAAAAATTGGTTGATGAGCTAAAAAGTTGCTCTCCTCGCCTTTGCTGTTATTAAAGTTATCCCTTAGGCAAGTCTGTTATTTTCTTCAGCAATGCAAGCCAATTTGTTCTTATATGTTCATCGTCCTACAGTATGCATAAAGAACAATTAAAATAATAATAGGAAGCTCAAAGTGTGCACTATAATTGTATCAACACACAAGAATCAGGCGTATATTTACGAATGTATCAAAACTAAAGAATACACCTACGTCTAGACCCAATTTATCTCATCTGTCAAATGAGAAAATTAAGAGAAGGTTGATTCCAAGGAAAACATACTTGATAATTCATGTCCAGATTCCTTTGTACAACTGTGACAGAGTTTTCTGTGGTAAATAAATGAATAAGAATCAGAATAAACAAGGTATGTTTTTTAGTGTATCTAAAAGGATCGATGGTTCTTTTACACATAAATTCAAGAAAGAAATATATAAAATGGTTAGTGCAAAGAATACTAGGGTTTTGATTTAGCTGGCTCATTGTATAATCCTTTAAATTCTTATATATCACCTGCATTTAACAATAACTTTGACTTCGACAGTAGAGAAGTTTCGATTAGGTTTTGGATTGTGCAACAACCCGTATGACCACTTGTACTTCTGCTCCACTTAACCACGTACAACAGCTATAATAAAAAAAGTCCACTTAAGTTCATTGTAATATAAAACCCAAGGAGCAAAGTGTAGTTCATCGTAATGTAAGATCCAGATAATCTTCCACATTCCCTTGTTTTCTGAAGGCACAAATTCAAGAAGCCAAGATCCATGAACAGGCACACCAATTAGGAGAGCAAGCTCGTTGAGATCTCTATATATATTCACATCGAAAGAGATGTAAAATGATGTCATGCACATGATCTAAACCAAAGACTAACAATCCTGAAAAATAACAAAGTTTAGTTCAGTGATCATAAAGCATTAGATAATAAACTGTAGGAATCAGAACTGGATCCCACATGCACTTCACCATGAGGTTAGAGTTAACAGTTGAAGGGTACAATCAAAACAAAAATGTAGTTGCTGGTGAACTGAAGTCCAATGATCATAAAACATTAAAATGGTATACACACCACGCGACCTAATCTTAATCCTAAAGGAAATCAGAACAGAAGTGAATCCAACTACTTATTTTGCTTTTACTTTAGCTTGCAGCCTTCCAGAACCATACACTCACACACACAAGTTTTTCTTGCTAGGTGCAAGAGCAACCGTTGCACAAGGGTAAAACGTATCAGGAAATCCTTGCAAAAGACTCCAGAAAAACTAAAGAACCATAATAAAATATGAAAAAGAAACAAGAACAACAACAATTTAAAGCTAATTGGCAAAGTTCTTTTTTAGGTAAAAAGATGAGATCTTTTTGTTATACGTTAGAAAAATAACCAGCTTTATACCTAACAATCTAGCAAATTGGGCGCATGCATATTCATTATGCTTCACAAACCACTTAGAAAGGATGCATCTTTCAGACACAAATTACATTCCAAGCAAGATACTTCACGCTTGCATATTCACAAAACCTTTTCCACTGTCTGCATATTTTCCATAGTAACTATACTTGGGAATTAGGATAATCTGCAAGCGTAAAACATGTAGTGCTGGATATTTTGAGGCAGGGTAACCATATTGAATTGAAAGTCACAGACATATGAAAAGTTATATTTCTTCATAAAGGCTAGACCTGTGCAAAATAGTAAGACATAAATGTATGAAATGTGAAGAAAAAAAAATACCATTTGTTGGCAAAACTGCAAGCCTTTTACAGCTTCTGCTTCAAATTTGACAATATATGCATATAATAGAACCCCGTAAGTGCCATTGCATTCAACATACAGCCATGAACCATACACGTATTCCTTATAACCGCATTCATGTTGTTCTCTCCTATTCCTAGAGTACCATCCTTATTACTTTTATCCTCATCTTTCTGAAAAGCACACATTCAAAACTTCCAGCAATACTTTCTATGCATAGTTCGTCCATTAACAACTAGTAATAATCTCTATGTATACGCTCGAGATGCTTCTGACTCGATTCCTCTATTTAAAAACCTTATTCAAACAAAATCTGATGAAGCTTTAAGACATCATCTTCTCAAGTGAAGCATTCTAGTGAGGCACGTTCATCTGAGGCATAACCTTCATCTCTTCAACAAGAAATTGTGAAATTGTGATCTTCACTTTTCAATATGAAATCGTGAAACCTTTGAGAATGTTTGATGGAAATCGTGCCCTTCAGACTTAGTATGAAGAGAAAATCGTGTTCTTCAAATGGACGAAATGTTTTCCTGATTCAGCAAGCAGTTCTTCAATGATTCAGCATGTTGTTCTTTGATTCAGAGATAAAGTTTGATGGAGAGAAAAGCTCCACTCGATTTAGGGGACTCACCGTGTTCTTCGAGTGTTTGGAAAGAAACTGACAATAAGGTTTCAAAATAAATAAGCGGGCACATAAGTCTTATGTATTGGGTGTAGGTGACAATTATGTGATTAATTATCAAGGATTGTGAAGTTTCCCCCAAGTTTATAAGTTGACAGTTTGGTCCATTGAATTAAATGAAGGGTATAAGGTAAATTGACTTAAACCTATCTTAACCAATTTTGGTGGGAATTTAAATTGGGGAAAGCCACTAGCAAGTTGTACCTAAAGGGAAAATAAAATATTTTCCTCCACCACTCGTCATATTTTTTTTCTTCCTCGTCTTCTTCTTTGTTTTTCTTGATTGCTTGCTTGTCTTTCTTCCCGTTCGATTTATCTTCTTCTTCTTCTTTTCGTACATTATTGGTCTTGGCTTCTAGTCCTTGACCTTTCTTGTTTTATTCTTCTTGAATCATATTTGGTTAATTTAATCAGTGGATTATATTTTTTTTTGCTCTCAATTGAAATTACTTCATAAATGATTAGGGTTCACACCATTGTTTTGATATTTAAAGTTAATATTTCTTTGAAATGATTCATCATACTTTGTCCACATGCAATTTTTTTCAATAATTTGCATTTGGTTTTCCAACATATTGCTATATGTTGCAACAATTGACTATTGAAACAAGTTATAGACATATGTAACAGTAGAAATGTTATTTCAATAGCAACATAATTGACAGATATTGCAACATATAACGTATACAAGATGCAGCATATAAGCTAGACATTTAGCAACATATGACTTAAAGGTCGCAATCGACATGATATTTATATAATACCCTTGTAAATCAATGTTTCAAGTGTTATATCATATTTTTATTGCCTAATTATTGTTTAAAGTACTAAAATTTTATCCAAATTTGACATTTTTTAATTCCTAAATCGCTCAATTTATCATTAAGTCATCCTTGAAGTGATATATCAGGCAATATATGCACGTTCTGTTGGGAAAATTGCAATAGAAAATTCATATGTGGCAATATATGTATATCATAAAATGATCTTTTGAGGGTTAATTCAATTAAATTATCACCTAATTCAACATGTTATACTAATATATAGTCCTAAAATAACTCTATCTACAAAACTATGGTCTAAGACAACAAACTTCATAAATTCTATCAATTATATTTACAAAGACTATAATTTACTATTAGTTCATGATAGAATGACCAAGTAACTACATATGACTGTTATATATAACCCATATAAATCGTTATTTCAAGTGTTATAACATATTTTTATTGTATAATAATAATTTAAATTACTAAACTTTTGTCTAATTCGACATTTTTTCATTCTGAATTGCTCAATTTATTGATTAAGCCATCATTGAAATGACATATTTAACAACATATGCATATTATGTTGGAACAATTGCAATAGAAATGTCATATGTGACGACATATATCTATATAAGAAAATAGACTTTGAAGGGTTAATTCGATTAAATTGTCACTAAATTCAACATGTAACACTAATATATAGTCCTACAACGTGTTTAAGTACAAAATTATAGTCTAATATAACAACCTTTCTCAATTCTATCAATTATTTTTACAAAGACTATCATATCACTAGTTCATCATACACTGATCAAGTAACTTCATATGATTGTTAAATAACACCGTTGCAAATCGTTGTTCATGTGTTATAGCCTATTTTTATTGTTTAATTATTGTCCAGAGTACTAAAATTTGATCCAATTTGACATTTTTCCATTCCTAAATCATTAAATTTATCGACTAACCCATTCTTGAGTGACATATGTGGCAACATCTGCACATCCTGTTGGAAAAATTTCAACAGACATGTCATATGTGACAACATATGTATATCATAAAATGGTCTTTTTGGGGTTAATTCTATTAAATTATCACCTAATTCAACATGTAACATCATACATAGTCATACAACATGTCTAAGCAAAAAAAAATATGATCTTATACAAAAACTTTAATCAATTTTATCAATTATTTTTGCAAAGACTATCATATCACTAGTTCATCATATAATGACAAAGTAACTTCATATGATGTTTATATAACATCCATGTAAATGGTTGTTCCAAGTATTATAACATATTTTAATTGTAATGCTAAACTTTGATCCAATTTGACATTTTCTCATTCCTAAATTGTTCAATTATCGATTAAATTAACCTTGAAGTGACATATGTGACAACATATGCACGTTTTGTTGGAAAAATTGCAACAGACATGTCATATGTGACAATATGTACATCTTAAAATGTCTTTTTTTTACAAATAATATTTCAAAAAGAATGACAACCCAACAATCCTACAAACAAATAAGTGATAAAAACCACTAAAAATCAAGATTTAATACAAATAACTATATTTTATCTTAGAAGATACCAATGATAAACTATAATGATGAGGGCAACAGCGATTTGTTTCAGAAGAAAATAGCAACATATTACCACTGATGTTGTAGAAAAAATAGCAACAATTTGAATTATAATGAAATAACGGAATGAGAGAAAGGAAAGAGAAAAAAACTAGAATTAGTAAAAATAAATTGAATTTGAAATATGAAATCAAACGACCTTTTATAGAGGAGAGGAGACACAGAAAATTAAAGGACGACTGTTTTAGATATTTAATTTTCATTTTTTAATTTTTTTTGATAATACATAGTGTGACATTAGTTGCCACATATATATTTTCAGTAGGGGTACATGTAGATAATTTCATAGTTTTTTTTTATAACAAATATTATAGAAGTTGCCACGGACACCACATTGGTAACAATAAAATGTTGACACATATGTCCTTTCTACGAGATATGTTACCACATATCACCTTTCTGTGACATATGTTGTCACGTATCTTCTTTCTGTGACATATGTTGCTACATATCTTCTTTTTGTGACATATGTTGGCACATATCTTCTTTCTGTGACATATGTTGCCACATATCTTATTTCTATGACATATGTTACCACATATCTTCTTTCAGTGACATATGTTGTCACATATATCCTTTTTATTGGGCACATGTTGATAATTTTGTGGTATTTTTTGCAACAAAGGTTATATATGTTGCCACATACACCACATTTATTCTTTTCCATCATAATTGAAATTCATTTTTACAAAAAAAATCATTTATTTTATCAACAAAAATAAACACTTCACCAATTGTTTTATAGAACTTATCAACAAAAAAAGTAATTCAAAATTGCATACATAACCATCAATCTAATCAATGGTGGATATTGTTGTTTCACATCACAATTGATGACTTCGACTTTCTCTTTCTCTTTCTCTTTCTCTTTCTTTTTCAATTTCTCCTTCTCAATCTCTAGGTCCCTCTCCTTCTCCGTCTTTTTTGTCCTTGCCTTTTGGGTCTGAATGTGATACAGAGGAGCAATCATTGTTTTTTTCTTTCACCAATTCTAGATAGTTATTGAGAAATATATTTTATCAATCTCCTACATTTCAAATATTTGAGGATAACTGAACAAAACTATATTTTATGAATCATAAGAACAAACTTGTCACAAAAAAAAACAACAAAAACAACAAAAAAAAGAATTTTCACTGAATGTTAATATTACATATACATTTTCTCAAATTATGACTTCTTAGGTTTGTTAATTTTCTTTCTGAAACAATAAATAATAGTTACCACTACACTATTATTCATTTTTCACATCTATAGAATGATTCATTCTTCATTAACCAAATAAAAGAAACATACTATTGTTCCGAAATTGTAAAATCTCTCAAAAAACTGACTTACACATTTTAAGTCAAACACAAAATGAATATATAGTCATCCCCTAAATTACGCAAACAACCTCTCAATTAATTGGGTCTTTTTGAGAAGTCAAATTGACTTAAAAACGCTGAGAACGAATCTCTGAAGTGGTTGCGTGTTGCGTAGGAAGTTTCACATTTTTTTTGATTTTCGAGTTGAGGTAGTGGACCTCGTGGAGTCCCCACATTTTAATGAAAATTTTCCTAGCCAAGGTTTTCTACGCGGCGCGCAAGGGACTCCATATCTTGGCTGCCACATGCTTCTTTGGCCGCTTGCTCGCCGAGGTTTGGTTCCTCCTCAAGGACTCTTTGAAAAGTCCTTGGGGAGTCCTTACTTAACGTTTGAACCCTATTTACTATACTTTACCTATTTAAAGTATTTTTAAGTGTTTTAGACCTCATTTGACACTCCTAAACCTTCACCAAACATAGGGATATCTACTAGTTCAATTTTTGCTAGTTTCGGACGTCAATGTCTTTGTTTGACACTAAGGCTGTAATACTTCTAGATCAAATTTATTAGATTAGTATAGATATGTAAAAATCATTTTAATAATCACTAGGTAGGTGAGGCACTAACCTTAGTTCAAGAAATTTCGAGGTGTTACAAGAAGCCTCTCCACTAATGCAATAGGTCCGGTTTCTAGAAGAAATCTCACTATTCCTTAACTACGTGCCCACGTAAGTCATATAAAATGGATCCACGTAGATATAGACTATGTAGGTTCTACCTTGGCAAGTAGAACACTTTCTTTCGGTATGGGGTTATATGACACCGGAATCCATGTTGCTCACATGGTCTATGTCGCTTATGGATAAGCATCCATAAAGTTATAAAAATGAACCAAGATTTTCATCATTCCTTGAAAGACTACTTAGTGTAGGTAGGACTATGGACCCTACTTATACATTGCACAAGCGGACTCTAAGGGAAGTTATGATTAGGCCCCTTTATTAAATAAGGATTTGTGATTCATTTATTTAAATCTGAATGTATGTCAAGGTTGAATTTACTTATGTCAAGACATGAATTATGATGATGCATGTGAACTTCTCTTATGGCTTCCGAATGGGTTTTCTTGGTATATGTGGGAGTATGAGACTCAATGTGTACATTACAAAAGTAAGCTTGTGAGGGTGGTGTACTTATGATATGAATTAAATGTGTTATAACTAAGATGAAATAAATTAAAGAGTTCCTATGCGACCATTAATGAAGTATGTTGGTATTTGTCACACTCCGAGCTACCCCCGAGACGCGGACACGGGACCTAGGACAAGAAGTGATCCCAAGCTAACCCTGCTGGCATGATAGTTAGCATAATAAAGAAAATAACTTATGCAAAATCTAAATCATAATTTAAAATGAAAAGATAGTGAATACCCATATTCTATAACACAGATATTTGAAATACTGGCTAATTTAATAGAAGGAAGTTATTAACTCAATACTAAGCTGAAACTAAGTATATCTGAAAATAACCTCTAAATTGAGAAAAATGTTTGAACACGTCCTAGCTATGTCTAACTAAAGGACTAAATACTGAAAAGAAAATCATGACTATTTTCCTATGAGAATGAGGACTCACCATTGAATC